GTGTTACCGGGTACGGCATTCTTGCCCTTGAGGACTTATTCTTGAGTGGGGAGAAGACGAACAATAAATGGGTGACTTTGGATGGTGACCAGTGCTATGAAGAATATCGGATAACAAGGGTGTAACTGGGATGGGGGAAACTTTGGCTAGAGCAGTGAAATAAGGTTTTGTTGTTGTTGTTTTTTTGTGTTTTTTTTGTTTTGTTTTGTTTTTTTTTTTTTTTTAAAGAAATTATATTAAATCATACATCAGAATAAGAGAAAGAGTAGCCATATGACAACCATTGGGAAACGTATTCCAGAAAGAGAAAGTGTTAGGTGCAAAGGTCCTGAGGTAGAAACAAGTTGCTCTGAATATTGCTAAGTGAGTATGTATTATCTTATTTGGACCAAAACTATTATAACAGACTAGTAGCCCTGCACATGAATCCATGCACCAGTAGCTCTCTGCAGGGCCTGGCTGCTCTGTGCCCGCTGCCCAGATGTTCTCTGCAGGCCAGGGGCTCATCCGAGGCCAGGGTGATGAAGTAAGAATTCCACCAGGCTGCTCACACTGCCCACTCTCAGCGGCTGCCCCCACCCCAGGACTGGGAGACTCCAGCAGGGCAGAGAGGACTGGGAGCTGCCATTTTGTGGCTATGGGTGCCACCATCTTGTGGCTATGTGACGGAGTGATGGTTAATTTGAGTGTTATTCTTTTATTAGATAGAATGCCACGGATGCCTAATTCAGTGTCTTCATGTTTTCAGATCCCCTGATCCCCCTCATATTTCTATGTCCCTCCCCCACATTTATTGTGGGTTTACTGCCCAGACTTGTGACAGGAATGAGTTCAAGAGTCTGACCTGGGATTAGGAGTACCTCCACCCACTCTGGTTGGCAACAGGAAGTATCTGGGGTTTACACCCCCCTGCCCAGCAGCCCTGGTGCAGTGGTTGAGGATCCAGCTCCTGTGCCTAGAGTTTGGGCAGATTCAAGGTGTGTTTAGGCTTCAGAAAGTCGAGAAGGGTCAGGCTGCAGCCGAGGTTCAGCCAGAATTGTACCACTGGCTATCTTTCCCCCACTCATTGTATGTTTCTTCTGGGAGCAAGGCCTTCATGAATCTGTTGCCCTTGAATTCCCATCCAAGGGTGTGTTTTTAGGGAACCCAACCTAAGACAGCCTGATATGTTGTTACACTGGCTTTTCTTTTAAGAGCATGTCTCTCTTAAAAATGACTGCTTATGGAGATGTGAGAAAGGCTATCCACCAACTTACAGTTACCTCTGAGGGGAGAGAAACGGGGTAGAATGGAATACACAGGGGCATCTATTATACACCATCTCTGTACTATTTTTATTGCTTCAGGCAAAATGGTCACATCTGTTAGATCTTACTGGTGGCACACAGGTGACGTTACATGACTTGCTATATCTTTGTGTAACAGCATATGCTGCCAAGTTGGGCACACCCGGGTGTGCCTTCCGCCTCTCCACCAGCATTACCCTTGGGCACGGTGTCCACTCCCTCGGGGCCTTATTTCCTCAGTTACAAATGTGATGTGGGGAAGACAAGTGCGCCTTCTACCGGTGCTGTGAGGATTCTATGAAAGAATGTAGGCAAAACACTTAGTGGAGAGACAGAGAGACTGACCGAGTTAACGCTCACATTTAGCTTTGATAATGAAACCTTCCAAGCTTTATTAGTGTCCATCAAAGGTCACAAGCCCTGAGTTATGTATCTTGTGTAATCCTGAAAAAATGCTCTGTGTCACTGGGATTTGGCTGGGGCCAGGGGCGGAGCTTTGCCAGGACCTGCCAGATGCCTCTAAGGGGAACCCTTTCTCATTTAATTCTGAGAAGAACCTGGCAAGAATAGAAAGTTCTATCATATATATTAAAAAAAAAAAAAAAAAAGGACCTAATATTAAAAATAAAAATAAAAAAAAAAGGCTAAATTTCTTTGGAGACACGGTGTGAAAGTTGGGGTTCCAAGGCATCCCTGTCTGGACAGAGTCCAAGCTCTTGGGAATCTGTGTCTACCCCTAGGTCCCTCATGGAAGCAGCAGCGTGGTGGCTGTCTTTCAGAGGGAGGTGGGGTCCTAGCCCCAGTCTCTAATGAGGACACTTCTTGCCAGGGGTGGGGCTCCAGGGGTCCGCCAGCCTTGTGTGATATTCTGAGGTTGTTCCTGGGCGAAGTCCATCTTCAGTCCCCAAGCCAGCCTGCAGCTGAGTGTCTGAGGTCACTCTGCAGTCACCAGTATCCATGCTGACTCCTAACTGCTCACTAGGGTCCCCCTCCCCTCTGAGGACCCGCCTGGCCCTCCAGGGTCCCAGTGCTGTTAACCTGAGGCAGGTTTGGGGCAGGAGGCTGAGTCAGGCTGCCACACCCACATGCAAATCTGAAGGGAGTGGGGTGAGGCATGCCTGCTCCTGGAGCCTCAAATCCCAGGTGCAGATTACAGAGCCAGGACGGCCTGGGAGCCAGGCTGAAACCCGCCCCTCTCTCACACATCTCACTCTAAGTGTAGCGCTAGCAACTGGCAAGGAAACAGAGTTCTGAGTCAGCTGGGGCTGCTGCCTCCCTCCTGCCTCCTCAGAGTTTCCTATGAGGGAAACCAAACGCACTTCTAAGCTAACCACCTGCGACCCTCCCTCACAAATGTGAACTCTCCAAAAGCTGGGGAGACTTCCCAGCCGTCCAAGAGGCATTTCAGGTTCTGGGGTGATGCAATCTTGTTCCCTTAGAAAGCACCGCTTACTTACCCTCACATTTGCCCTGGACCCTGTTCTGGGACGGGTGGGGGTAAGGACACTCAGGCAATGCAGACGCAAGAGGGTGCAGGCCCCCTCCCAGGGTGTCGGGCGCAGTGGCTGCTCCCTCTGCTGCGAGTCCCAGATCCAAGTCCATCTGCTGCCCGGGGCCCGCCACCCGCCGCCCGCCACCAGCCGCCCGCTGCCCGGAAGAGTAGGGACTGAACTGGGCTCTTTTTTTACAGCTACTTTGCATTTCCCTTCCTCCACGGTTAGCAACCGCATCCTGTCGCAGGTTTCTCTCAAGGCTTGTTTCTTTTTCAGGAGAGCACCCTTGATTCGAGCAGATTCAAACCCACCCTGTACTTCAGTCCAGGAACGGATTGCCGAGTTCACAGACATAGATAGGCAAGCCTGTGGTCCGTGTCACAGAGGAGCCCGCTGCTTGATGGCGTGGGGGTGTGGGTCCGGTGCCAGCAGGCTCCGGAGGCAGGGTCACTGCGAGGAAAACAGGACCAAAAAAGTGATGAACGGGCATCCTTACTGCCTCCCCTGCATGCGGGGTGTGCGGAGGGAGCCTCCTGCAGTTTTCCTGGACAGCAGCTCTCTCTGGGAGCCTGGAGGAGGACCCTCTGGTGCCCCTGGATCCTGCAGGGACAGGGAGAGCCTCCGGAGAGCAGGTGTTCCCTCGGCTCCCTGAGGATCTCTCTAAACAAAATATTGCCTTTGCTAAGGGCTTTCTCCACACGGAGTTCGTCAGCCGCAGGGGAGTTTGACCTCCTCGGTTCTCCCCCTACCTCCCCACCCCCCAGTCCCGAAGCTGGCTGTCTGCTCTGATTTTTAGTAAAAGTATAAAAAGAATCAGAAGTTTTAGCTTCAATGGAGAGAAGTGGAAATAGGCAAGTGTCAGGGCTGCTCACAAAGAACCCCGTTCCCAGCAGAAACGCCCCAAGAAGCAAACACAGCTCATGCATTGGTTTTAAAAGTGAAAGTTGAGGTCGTTGCTTTGTGGTTCTTTCTCTAAATAGGGCATTGAGAGGTGAGTGCACTGTGGAACACATTTTTAGGTTTAGTTCCCCCACGGACAGAACTTTAGCCACACACTTCTAGATAAGTAGGTTTTAATAACAATAATAGTAATAAAGTGTTGGTTAAACTTAACTCAGGAAAAGACATCATCAAAAAGACATTTCTTTCTACCCTTAATGTGTGCCTGGTACTGTGTAGGAGCTTTAGAATACCATTTTGCTTAGGTTTTCAAGGCATTTAGGCCTAAGGTAATTTACAAAAATAAATAAATAAAGAAAGAAAGAAAGAAAGAAAAAAGAAAAAATTAAAATAAAATCGATTAAAATCTATTCTAGAGGCTCTTCCCTCCCCACCCCCCACCCCCGCTTTTGGGGGTATATATGATACCAGTTGATTGCTCCTACAAAAGCTGTGACTTCTGTTGTGAAGGAATTAACAAAGAAAACCCAGGCTGAATAAATCAACACCCAGGTTCAGAAGTTCAGAGCATTTGGGAACAAAGTCTTCCCCAGAGCTGAGAGGCATTCACAGGGAGCTCTCTGTGCTAATGGGAATGTTAAAGATATACCTGAGACCAGATAAACATTTGATAATTTCACAAAGCACGAAGGTTTCTTTGCAGTTTTTTTTTCTTTTTTTTTTCTTCTGCTGACACATTTCCCCCCATGGGGTCTGGACCTTGTGGCTTCATTACACTTTGCAAATGAGGGAAGGCGGGGGTTTTCCAAGAGTGCGCTGGTGTGGAGGAGCTTTGCTGGAAGCAGCGGACCGGGGTTTACAAAGAGGGGTGTGTGTGCGTGCATGCATGCATGTGTGTCTGCATTTGTGATGGGGGTGGGGGTGGGGGTGGCACGGGGGAGGGAAGGAGGGAGGAAGATGTGGGTTACAAAGCTGCCATCTAGAGGCGCCTTCCTGCAGTGTATATAACGCCAGTCTGCAGCCCTGGAGCTCACAGTTCCTCCAAACTGCTCAGCCCCGAAGGCAGGCAGGCAGGGAGCGTAGGAGCTGGGAAAGCCAGCCCTAAGGGAGAGACAGCAGAGGTAAGGAAACGGCTCCCTCTTCAGCCCTGGTGGGAAGGAGGGGAGGCGAAGGGCAGGGTTTCTGCTCTTAAGCTGAGTGGTTTGTCAGACGCTTCTTCCTCCGGGCTGTGATGGGTGCTCGCGATCCTGCAGGTCTGCCTTCTGAGAGCCCGGCTGCTTGTCGCTTGGCTGCATCGCTCCGTCGCTCCGTGTGCCTGCTACCGCGGAGAGTAAAAAAGGCAGTTTTCTTGGGTCACTTGTGGAAGGAACTTTGGTGTGTTGGTGGGGTTTGGGAATCTGGTGTTTATCTGCTGCTGTGGGGACTTGAGCTCCCTCCCGGAGGCTGGGTACTTGGGGGAGACTGCAGACTGTTCCCTCTGCTTCTCAAAGTTGGTGCAAGAGTCAGCGTGGCACCCTGCTCCCCTTCTGGCATATCAGAATCGGCAGTCCATGTGCAATTCCAGAAAGATGTGCACTTTGTGCAGAGGCATCCTTAAGTGGAGCAGGAAACTGCGGAGCCTCTCGGATGGCCCTGAGTGCATCTGCATTCCGTGCCCCGGGGGATCCCGGTCCGGGAGCCAGGGCGCTCTGCTCTGTGGCTGAGTGTGAACCGGGCTCTGCCTCTGGCCTCCTGACGGCATCCTCGCTCCTCTAATCTGAGCATTGCTTGTTCTCTCAGGAGGTTAGTCCAGCTTCAGTTGGGGAAAAGAGTCACAAGTCTAGGATTTTGCCATTTAAACATACTCTTCAGGTAAAAGGTAAATTTTGTTCCGTTTTGTTAGTACGCTCAACTACTGAGAGTAAGAACTTTGGAGAGAGGGCAAAGAGGGGTGGTTCACTCTGACTTGTAATTTCCAGACGGAATGAGAAGTTGTAAAAGTCAGACTGGCTGTCTCCCTCATCCTTTCCTTTCCTTTTCTTCCTTCCTTTGCTTCCCTTCTTCTTTCTCATGATTCATTTGCTCACAACAGAATGATTACATTTTCCAGAAGTGGAAGTCGTCCCCCCCCAATGGCTTTCAGCCTTTTGAAGGCATTTGGTGCAGGGACACCCCCTGAAACGTCACTCTGCAAAGCCTCAATGCGATACTGCTCCCTTCTCTTTTTAAACGCAGATGCTGCCTTTGTGTGCCTTTATTTATGCCAGGAAAATGCCAGATCAAACAGGCTTGCTTAGAAAAGAAAGTGGAGGCTGCTGGTGTCTGTGCTGAACTGCCTACAGATTTTAAATGGATAAAGCGCTGAGGCAGAGTTGCACACGGGAGCTCTAGCTTGGAAACAATTTACTCTTTCCCGCCCCCCTGTCTCTGCCATAAACACTCCAGTGTAACACAACTGCTAAGCTTGAGGCCACAACCTCCTGGGGGTGGGAGTGGTGGGGAGTGGAAAAACAAAAGAAAAATTGAGGAAAAAAAAATGCAGGTGGAAAGGCAAAATAAAATTGGAAAGTGCCTATTTTGCTGCTGCCCTTGTGATTTTTTTTTTTTTAAAGGGCAGCGCATCACTATCACAGCGTAAAGAAAGTTCTGGAAAGTATAGCCGAGGCAGCATGCCTGTGCTTTAAAGGGAGTTGGGACTCTGGAGGTGAGGTCATGCCCTGTTAGCAGCAAGTCCTGAGAGAATGGAGAAGGTATTATGGTTCCTAGTCAGGCCCAGAACAGGCCAAGTATAGACTTTCTGAATTGAAGGGGGAAAAAAACACACAAAAAACCCCCACACACAAACCACCAAACAAAAAAAACTATTTACACAGGAACAGTGGCTTTTTGTGTGATTGTTGTAGTTATGGAGGTTCCTGTTTTCCAGGCAACTCCAGGGAAGTTGGTGGCAGTTTCTCAAACCTGAGGCCGAGAGTCACCCTAAACCCTGAGAGTAACCGGTGGAAAGGAAAAACAACCTTAAAGATTTCAGGACGAGACTTTCCCCAGTGATTTCGCAGAACATGAGCGGGACTGGGAGCTGAAAAGTATTTGCACTTCTAAGCCAGGCAACTGAGAAGCTTAATTTCACTCTTGGGAACAAAAATGGTACTAGAATGCCTTCCAAGAGGGCAGGTACAATTTAGAAACTGTACTTAAGTCCAGAAAATTATAGCTCCAGGACACACATTGGCTGTTAAAATAATGACAAGGAAAAAAAAGAAAAAAGGAAAAAAAAAAAAAAGGAAAAAAAAAAGGGAAGCAAAAAGATACAGGGATGGTTCTCTAATCTGAACTACCTGAATGCTCTCTGCAGGGGAATTACATGCTTTTTTTATGTAAGAATCTACTAATTTAGAACTGAGTGTGTGTGTGTGTGTGTGTGTGTGTGTGTAGCCCATTATTGCTTCATTATTAAAGTGATGGGGAATTGCATAGTTTCATAGCCAAACTTTTGCTGAGCCAGGAGTAGTGTTTCCCAAGTGCCCAGAGGGTGGAGAGGCTGTGACTGTCTCAGGTGGCCTTGACCTGCTATTGGCTAAGGGGCAGCGGGCGGTGTGGGGACCTTCTGTGGGGATCATTCTCAGTTTGAATAGAAGAGTCTAAGATTGTGTAGCATTCTCCTGGGAGCCCCATTGTGTGTGCTGGGCGCCGTGAGTGGCTCAGCCTGCTGACCTGCTGCCCAGACCTAGTCCTAGGCTGAGTGGGAATTAGGGCTCTGGTTACACTCGGCCAGCCCAGGCTGCAGCCTTTGTGACATGGGCCCCTGGGTCTGCCCTGCTGTGTGCAGCTCCACTTCCCTGTGGGGCAGCTGAGCACATAGGCCAGATCGAGTTTCTGGGTATGGGGTTCATTTTATCCCCCAATACTGAAGTGGATGAGGGTGCCCCCAGAGTTAACATGATGTATGTCTGAGGGCCCCCCTGAATGAGGGCATGGCTTTTTCTTTCCTTCTTTTTCACTCTCTATTATTTTTCCATTCCTCAAGGGTTTCAGGGCAATTCTTTACTTGTGTAGACTATGGTCACTCGTGTGTGTGTGTGTGTGGGGGGGGGAGCGGGGGTCGGGTTTACAGCAGGCCCGAGCACGAGCCCCCAGATACAGCCCCTGGAGGAGTTGGGAGAGAGAGAGCTGGCCCTTCTCCTGTCCTGCCTCAGCCTCCAGGTGATCTTGTCTGGGTACAGCACTGAGTTGCTCCCCAAAGTTCAGTTTGGGAGGATACCGTCCCAAATCGCAGAAAGCTGTTAAAGGAGCTCCCCACAGGCAGAGGTCCTGAAAGGACCAGAGGGCCCGGGGCCCCTTGTGACAGAGGTGCCCGAGGCCCTGCCTGGCCTGCCTTCTTTTACTTGCCCCACCGGAGACTGGGAGCGCCTTCAGTCCTGCCTCCAGCCTGCTCTGCACCCTGCCACCGCAGAAGCCTTCTCTGCACCAAAACCACTCACTTGCTTAAAACTGTTTTGTCTTCCGCAGGGCCAGGCCCAGTCTGACCCCTCACCCCCACCAAGTTCTGATTCTTGCCTCCAGCTCTTCAGCCAGGTTCGCTGACCCTCTCCTTTCTCCTTGAAGGCTCTACAGGCCACGTGAGTGGAAATCCCTCATCTCCTGTCCCAGGGCGGCCCCCACCTCTGCTTCCTGAACCCCTGGGTGACCTGGTGAGCTCTGGGGGGCAGGACAGTGACCATACTGGCTCACTGTGCCCCAGAGTACAGCACCCCCCCCCCCCCCCCCCCCGAGGAGGCCCCACAGACATTTGGGAGCATGAAAAGGGAGATGGTATCTCCGCTTAGGGGGATCTCAGAACAATCATTTCTGGACACCCATCTCCAGTGATGGCCTCAGATCTCTGGTCTCCATGGGGCCTGGTGAACTTCTGATTCATTGACTATTGATTCATTGAACATCTACTTTGGGCCAGGCGACTTTGCAGGTGTGTCTGAGGATGAATGATGTCATGGCAGGAGAAATGTAAACCAGGCCAGGACACAGCATGGAGATGCCTGCCTGGGTGGGAGAAGGCCAGAGAAGCAAGGGACACGTTATTTGGGATGGGAGGGGCTGCGGGGTTAGTCAGGATGGGTCTTCTGGTCTGTGATGGGAAATTATAAACACACTGAAGGTGATTGAGGTGAACACTAGCCAGACACCTGAACACTTGGCAGTCCATCCCGGAGAGAGTGACTGTTGGCCAGAGACGGGACAGTTTACTGCAGGACAAATCGCCACCCCATGGGGATGCTAAGCTTGGAGGCCTCGGATTCTGGCTTGCCCCCAGCCCCCCGGGTGAGCTTAGGCAAAGCATTTGGATGCAGCTGAATACCTCAGGCCACTGGCTGCTGCTCACTGGTTGCCAAGGATACTTGGTGGGAGAATAATGAGCCTGAGAAGAGAGAGGCAGGTCCCAGGGACGTCCTTGTGGGACAGAGAGGAGCCCTTCCTCCACGTGGGACGTCAGTAGATGAGGCCCTGGCAGAGCCCAGACAGGGAGGGCGGCAAACGCTGGCCCTCTGCAGGCCCAGGACGAGCCACTGTCCTTGGGGCAGACGCGTTCCACGTCCAAGTGCAGGTGTGGGATGGGGACTCTGTGGACTCTAGGAGATTCGTCAGATAAACATAAGATGTGTCAGGAAAGAGGGAAGGGACGACGACCTTACTGCTTTCTGTTCTCACTTGGGTGTCTGTGGTCCAGAAACGTGGAATGTGAGCCTTTATTGTTTTCTGAAGCATTCCTGCCTCTATTAAAATTTACATAATTATTTTGTTTTTCAATTACCGTTGACATCCAATATTATATGAGTTCCAGGTGTACAGCATGGTGGTTAGACATTTATATAACATATGAAGTGATCCCCCTGATAAGTCTAATAACCACCTGGCACCATCCACAGTTATTACAATACTATTGACTGTATTCCCTGTGCTGTACTTTATATCCTCGTGACTGTTTTGCAACTGCCAATTCACAGTTTTTAATTAAAATTTACATAATTCTTAACGTCAGGTTTCAAATAATACAGAGGTTTATAGTGTCAAAAGTGCAACCCCCACTTTGTCCTCTCGCCCCACCCTCCTGGTCCAAAGTTTTATACGTAATGTGATTGTTCTTGTGCCTTTAAGCATGGACATTTAAATATTAAAAATACCCATAATGTCTGACCCTTTTCACGTGAAAGAAATTATGCTCTGTGTATGTGTGCAGATCTGAACAGCATAATAACTTTCCACATTCAGAGGAGTTGGTCTCCTCTTTGTTTTCACAGCTAAATTATATTCCACAGTGGATATGCCGGATTTATTGAACCATTTCTCTATTGATTGTCTTTAGATTTTACTAGCATGTAATCTGCACGTCAATAAACATTCTTGTGCATACACTTGGGAACATGCGAACCTTTCGAGAGGAGGAATGTGTGCACCATGCAGTCATGGATCTGGAAACATCTTTTATTCCATGCCCATTTCCCCCCTCCTTTCATGAACTCTTTGTGCAGATGCCTGACAACCTGAGTTGTTGCAGTGGGTTTCATGCCCTGGCCCCTCTCTGTGAGGGCTCAGAGCCACAGGGTGGCAGGCGATGGGTAGCTTTGACCTACCCCATGAAGTTGCTCCTAAATGTCAGCCCCAAGAATGGCTGGTTTATTTCGAGGCTGGTGAGGGCGTCACCGCCACTTCCTGGTGGTTATCAGCCCTGCCACTGCCTCTTAGCAAAGCAGACCAGCTGCACCGGCCAGTGCAGAGGCGCTCACATGTGTGCACGGCGCTCTCAGCTCTGTGTCCTGGACTAGGGGCCCCCTGCTGTGGCTGGAGGGGATGCCCGTGCAGGTGGTCAGGGAGTTCACGTGGCCAAAGGGGGTTCAGTAGATGCTCCCGCCCTTCTTCACTCTCTACTTTGCTGGGCACTTAGTGGTCAGGCCTTAAACAGGCATCTGGGTAGACAGTTCATCGTCTGCGTTTCATGCCTCTGTTCATATTAGGCTCTGGGAGCCTCCCTTGTTAGAACTTAAGACGATGATTTAGCCAGATTCTGTTCTCTGGTGGGGTCCACACCATCAGTGTAATGGCATGAAATGAGCCTGCCCTGCCCACCCCAGGTCTCTCAGACACACGCTCAGCAGCCAGGCCTTTGCTGCAGAGTGCATTCCACAAAATGGGACCAAATCATAGTCTTTTCTTGGAAACACCTCTGGTTCCCCAAACTTAATGCATGAAAAATACTGAGATGGCAAGAGGCTAAGCGATTGTGTAGCATTTTCCTTTCCTGGTTTCCCATTGGAGTCTGCGCAGGATTCGATGGCTGTGCTGTTTCCCACCTCCTTTCTCGGTGTTTCCCTTCCTGCTCTGACCACCAGAGCCTTCTGCAGCAGAGGTGGGGGCACGGCGGTTCCCAGAAGAAGACACGTGGGCCTCTGGCTTCACCTCCTGGGTTGATTGGTGATCAGTAATCAGTGATCAGTAATCAATGATCAGCAGGACAGCTGACCTTCACAGTCCACCCACTGCTGGACAATCCCTACTGTGCCACCCAGGAGAGGACAGCTGCGAGAAGGTGTGCCTGGTCATGAGTGACCGTGGTCACTGCATCAGCCTTTCACTGCCCAGCCGGCAGAGGCAGGAAACCCTGTCCCACCAGGCAAGGCTCTGGGGGTATGAAGGCTGGCAGCAGTGAGAGGTGCAGGGGACTGGAGGGAACTAGAAAGATGCATTTGCCTGCTAATTTCCTGGGGGCCACACACAAGAGGCAAGTGTCCCTTGATTTTGTACCCCTGAGTAGATCTGTCTGTCCATGTCTGAACGAGCTGGGTGTCTCCTCAAGTGAAGAAAGATATGGGGGAACTTGGCATCCACTCAGGCTAACAAAGGCCCCTGTGATCGGCCCTGTGTAGCATTTTCCTTTCCTGGTTTCCCATTGGAGTCTGCGCAGGATTCGATGGCTGTGCTGTTTCCCACCCCAGGATTTATGGCTGTGGTCGAGACCTTGTAGGCTGTGCCAATGCGGGCGGAGAAGGAGCCCCAGCCAGGCACCAGCCGAGTGGCTTTCCGGTCCCAGGACCCGACCCACCTCTGTCTGGCTGCCTGGCTGTGGCTTGTCCTCTGAGCTTCTCCATCAGCAGTGGGAGGTCACCTGGAGGGGCCTGGGTAGTCATCTGGAGGGGAACCAATTGCCTCTTACAATCCAATAGGGGAGAACCCCCAGAAGCCTGCAGGCAGCCTCTGGTGACTGGGATTCAAGGGTAGGTTGCCTGTCCTGGGTTTTGAGGCTGAGAAGCCAGCTGGTCCGGGAGGCAGCAGAAAGTCTTATTTCTTGGGGACTCTGTCCATTTATTCCAAAGGTGAACCAACTGCCTGGAAGAGTCAGCTTCAAATATGCAACAAGAATTAAGCAAGGGTATGCTGTTCACTAAAGGGAGGGGGTGGGCAGGGTGAAGTTTCAGTGAGCATATGCTATGTGTTAGAGTCTGCATTAGGGTCTTCAGTTCTGAGGCCCGTGTCCTGAGAAGTAGTGGGAAAACAGGTTAACTTGTCTCAAGTTAATATTAACTAGTGAGGAGCCAGAATCCAATCTGCTCTCAGGGGGACCTTTTCCCAGCTATCTCTTCATACTGTTAGTGTGGCCACCTGGGCACTGACCCACGGACGTACCATTGACCTCCTTCCCGGGGAGTTCTCATGTGTGACCTGGAGTCCACTTGACATTAACTTGGCAAATAAACTTGACTTGGTCAGCTAATATCTGGGACAGGTGAGAAGGAAGCCCCAGCACCCAACCTTCACCAAGGCCCGTGCTTATTTTCATTTTACTTCTCCTCTCATAGTCACTCGGACTCAGAGCCATGCCATAGAAGGATTTCAGGGCCCTGGGGTGGACAGGGCAGCGGTAGAAGACAGGCTCTGACAGCTCCCATAGCTGGTGAATTCATGGTGAAATCATTGCCAAGCACAATGGTATCTTGGGCTGGATCTTCGTGGGTGCTAAATGGGGACAATTCAGAGTTGGCTTCACATCAGGTCAGCGGGAAAGACAGTTGAGAAACTCATGGGCTTCTCCAGGAAGGCAGCCGGCCGTATTTTTGTGCTTCAGGTCTTAGCACACATTGTTCTTGAAGCAATTGGGCAGATAAAAGATGGGAAGCCAGGCACTGGCCCAGCGCTTGAGGTAGCTGCTTGGGCGCCCTGGGTTGGGAATCACACAGCAAAACCAGAGCCTGTGGGCCTGGAGCTCGGTCAAGCTGCAGGGTGCTCTGCATGCTAACCACGTTTCCAGTAGTCTACGTGTCTGCCGACAGGGCAGCAGAAGACACAGAAAATTATGTGCTGATTTTGCAGAGGGGTAAAAAGCACTAGTCCCATTTTTTAATGCAAATTTGGAAGAGAATCTGAATCAATTTCATTGAGATACCAGAGCAGGACATTGGTAAGGAACAGATCAATTCTGCCATTTTTTTGGGGGGGGGGTGTAGGGGAAACGCCTCTACTGTCCACTGCGAGCTAGCCGGCCATCTGCATCAGCTTCCTGACAGTTCTCTGGCTCCTGGATTGGGCATAGCCAGGCTGGCGATGTCTTGCAAACAGCCATGGAAAGATAGAGAAAGCAAGCACTGTGTCTTTGAGCACCATGTGGCTTTAGATTCTGGGTGTGTTTGATTTTGTTTTGTGGGTTTCTGCTTTGGTTATTTTCTTTGCAAAAATTCTTCAGAACTAAAGTGAAACAGTTGAGTGTATGGGTGCTGAAAAAGCATTTTGACTGAAACTTGAATGTTTCCTAACAAAACGATTTTTCTCTTTCATCTTTTAGGTTTGATTTTTTGTGCAGACCACTTGATCGCTGCCCTAGACACCATGGATTTGCATCTGTTTGACTACTCGGAACCAGGGAACTTCTCTGACATCAGCTGGCCATGTAACAGCAGCGACTGCATCATGGTTGACACCATGACATGCCCCAACATGGCCAACAAGAGCGTTCTGCTCTACACCCTATCCTTCATCTATATCTTCATCTTCGTGATCGGCATGATCGCCAACTCCGTGGTGGTCTGGGTGAACATCCAGGCCAAGACCACCGGCTACGACACGCACTGCTACATCTTAAACCTGGCCATCGCCGACCTGTGGGTGGTGGTCACCATCCCGGTCTGGGTGGTCAGCCTTGTGCAGCATAACCAGTGGCCCATGGGTGAGCTCACTTGTAAGGTCTCTCACCTCATCTTCTCCATCAACCTCTTTGGCAGCATCTTCTTCCTCACCTGCATGAGCGTGGACCGCTACTTGTCCATCACCTACTTCACCAACACCTCGAGCCACAGGAAGAAGGTGGTTCGCCGTGTTGTCTGCGTCCTGGTGTGGCTGCTGGCCTTTTGCGTGTCCCTGCCCGACACCTACTACCTGAAGACTGTCACATCCGCATCCAACAACGAGACCTACTGCCGGTCCTTCTACCCGGAGCACAGTGTCAGGGAGTGGCTGATCAGCATGGAGCTGCTGTCTGTGGTCTTGGGCTTTGTCATTCCTTTCTGCATCATCGCCATCTTCTACTTCTTGCTGGCCCGAGCCCTCTCAGCCTCCGGAGACCAGGAGACGCACAGCAGTCGGAAGATCATCTTCTCCTACGTGGTGGTCTTCCTGGTGTGCTGGCTGCCCTACCATGTCGTGGTGCTCCTGGACGTTGTTTCCATACTCCACTACATCCCCTTCACTTGCCAGCTGGAGAACTTCCTCTTCTCGGCCCTGCACGTCACGCAGTGCCTGTCCCTGGTGCACTGCTGTGTCAACCCCGTGCTCTACAGCTTCATCAACCGCAACTACAGGTACGAGCTGATGAAGGCCTTCATCTTCAAGTACTCGGCCAAAACGGGCCTCACCAAGCTCATCGACGCCTCCCGGGTGTCGGAAACAGAGTACTCCGCTTTGGAGCAAAACACCAAGTGAGGCCCAGGCTCCGGACACGTGTGCTTGCTTTCAGCAGGGCTCTAGGTTGCCTGGGGGCTTGAGACCGGAGCAGTGTGCAGAGGGGGAGGCGGGCCACAGTGCTTCCTCCCTGACTCTCTCATGCCTGCATGGCCATTGCTTGGCTGTGACCCTGATCATGTGTCACACAGGGCCGTGCCTCCAGCCGATGCCACTTGTCAAAACTGGTGGACGGAGGGGTCTTGCCTGCACTTCTGTACAATAGGACTCTCTGTGTTTCCTGAAGGTTTTCTATGGTGATTTGTATTTAAATGCTAAGACTTTATTTTCTCACTCTTGGCATACCTTATAAATGTATCAGAAAGTTTAAATATTTTAAATGCTGTATGGGAAGTGTAACGCTGACATGTAATCGTGTTGTAGTTTTAAGATTAGCTTGACTTCGATTTTGACTAAGGATGATGTTGACTGTTTAGCTGTTGTGAGATTATATATAAATATATAAATATATACTTCTATGCCAGCCTCAGCAGAAATGTTTTATTTACGACAGTTTTCTATCTGGGTGTTGCTTTGTACTGGCATGGGGTGTGCGACGAGAACTGCCCTGTAATGCAGTTTCTGACATTAATAATATCTGTAAACTTATATTGAAAAACAAACAAACAAACAAAAAAAGCAAAACTGTTCCAGGCTGCAATGCTGTGCATAAAGCAAACGGCGTAAGTCAGAGAGTTCACTCAACCTGTAAGTTATTGTTTTAAAAATAAAGATCGTTTTGATTTTCCTAAAAAAGCACCTGAGTCTCAGTCAGTTTTCAAAGCATGTTTGGCATTTAGGTGGCATGTATGATAATAACATACAAATACACACAGCATATACAGGTCAACATATAATGAATACCTTTTTTAAAAAAGAGTACTACCATAAAGGCAAAATACCAAATGATGCCGACTTGGATGAAGTGTATATAGAAAAAACATTTGAATGCATTGAGGTTTTTTTCTTAAAGTTTATTTACATTTCACATAGCATGTTTGAAGGCGGGGAGGTGGCTGGGAGTTCCTGAAAGTTCCCGGCTACTCTCAGCCTGAAGGGTTCGGGGCTTAGGACTCACGGGTCCCCAGGGCTACACATCTACGGCTCTTGAATCTTCCTTGCTAGGGTTCTGTGACTTAAAGCCTTATTTTTCTTCCTCTGTTCAGGAAAATCTCTTCATTTAAAAACTAGCCCATCAACGACCTTGTTCTTGAGGACATGCAATGAGTGAGTTACCAAATCAACCTACATTGCTAGTTAGAAAGAGCACACACAGAACGGCCGATTCGGCTGAGCCCTCACCAACTGGACATGGAACACAGCAGTGGCAGACATCAGCCGCAGATCCATCTGGGCAGGAGCTCCGAGAAGGCCTGGCTTGCCAATGCTCCCTCATCACGACCAGAGTGACGGGACTGATTTGCATGGCTGCACCCAGCAGCCATCTCCTCACCCCATTCAGTGCGCATTGGAACTGTGAAGGCGCACTGAATGGGGTGAGGGGATGGCTGCTGGGTGCAGGGAGATCCCCACAGCTCCCTCCCGCAGGTATGGGCTTTGCTCCTAGCTCAGTGATGTCTCTGGGTGGACACAGGTGCTGAGATTTCAGTTCTCTGAGGCAACGGTTAAGAGCTAGAAAGGCCCTATCCAGATTTAAGGAATACTTCCCACTCTGTCCCCTGCCCTGGACTCCTGAGGAGTCTCCTCCACAACCTGGATGGCACAGGCACACGCAGGGCCCGCTAGGATCCCAGGTCTTCATTCCAGCAACCTCTGCTACGCAATTACTGGGTTGGGTAAGGCGTGAGAGGAAACGGACTCATTGCAGCCAGCTTGCATTTGCAGAGCTGTTTTGCTTTCTCTGTCTGGGTGGCTGATGAAGGCTCAACCTCACACAGTGCCAGCAGAGCCTACTTTCCTAACCCAATGCTGCACTCTCACACACGCACATGCGGATTTGTTATCCTCCATGTGACCAACACATGTGTCCTGGACATGATATTCCTGGTCACATCCAGGATGATCCTAGCCAGTGACTGGGGCACACCACTGTGTGCTCAGGCTGCACCCGTCCATCCGCAGTCTCTCAGCACAGAATGCATTTGCTTTGCAAAGAACAGTGCATTTCAGAGAAATAAAGTGACCACCATCTGCCTGTGGGAAGTGACTAGAAGAGTAAGAACCATCTGCCTCAGACAGTGGTTCTCATGGGGGTGACTGTCTCCCAGGGGACACTTGGGAATGTCTGGGGACATTTGTGGTTGTCTCCACTCAGGGAGGGGTGCTGTTGGCATCTAGTGAGGAGAAGACACGCTGCATAGGATGGGCCTACAAAAGGTTTCCTTAGCCCCAAAGGTCACCAGAGTTGAGGTTGGGAGACCCAGTTCTCAGATAAAGCCAACCATTTAGACAGAATTCTGGATGGTATTCATTACCTCTGTGATGTGCTCTGAGTAGGAACTTTGACAATCTCAGGGCTGGGGGTCCATCCCGGGGTCCCTAGAACATCAGTTTCACAGTTTTTGCCCCTAACCTCTGCAAGAGTATATGGATGAGATCTACACCAATATTCTCATTGTGCCTGAACATTTCAATGACAAGAATTAGTTTGGTTCATCAACAGTTTACATAAAAGACATGCTCATGAAAAAGGTATGTGCAGGTTAAACGTTGGTCAAACTTTAAGTGGGTTTGAACCAAGAGCATCATGGTTCGTGGTCCGGCTGCTCCAGACGCCTGGGTGACTGTTTCAATTCTGCTTCTCAATAGCTCCATGGCGTGGGCAGTGTTTTGCTGTGAACTTCAGTTTGCTCACCCTCACAATGACTTCCCCACCTCCATGGAAAGGCAGCTGCAGAGGTCACAGGGAGCATGTATGTTGAATGGGCAGATAAAGGGATGAGTGAGTGCTTAGAAACCCACGGCGGGCGGGCCACACTGAAGACCCTGAGAACTTCCCATGCTTTTGCATGTTTCACTCCATCCTGCCCAGAGCTTCCCTGACAGGCCGTGTGGGAGGACGTAGCATCAGCACACATCACACCTGGTGTGTTCGGGCTTGTCTGAAGTCCACCAATGGGTATGCTCACCTGTGTGTTGTTATGGGTCACCGCATACATGATCTCCATCTAGAATCTAAAACTGTGTCTCCCATAGATCATAGATTCTAGATGCTCAGATCCTGCTTCCCAGGCACTGAGCTACTTGGCCGTGGAGGGAGCGCTTGTCCTCATGAAAGAGGCCTGGTTATCTGTCTGGTATGTGGGGAGTGATGGGTAATTTTGGTGGTTTTTTTTTTTTTTTTTTCAAAAACTTCCTTTTTGTTGGCTTTTCATATGCTTATAACCTTAGACCTTGCCATGTGGGATTCAGAACGGCTGCCAATCATGTCATTTCTCAGGGTTGGGGGTGGGGGCAGCGGCGGCTTCATCAGCCACTTGTCACAATGTAATGCTCAGAAGCAGCAGAATGGGAAAAATCTGAATTTCCATAGTGATTTCTGGAACTAAACTGATTAAAATAATTTCCTAGGTAGGTCGGAATCTTCCCTTTCAGCCGGAGCGCGTCATGGTGGCGATGACATTAAATCTGCTTGGATGACTCCAAATGTATGTTGGCACGGCAACATGTCACGGGGCGAGCAAAGAGCATGGTGGTGGCCGCCCAGCCTGTGTGAAAGGGCCTGGGGCTGCGCTGCCCCTGCTGGATGTGCTTCCTGTTAGCCTTTCACAGGCAAGCGTGCGAGGCTGAGCTTTTCATTGCTTTTTCAGGGCTGTGGCCAATAGGAGGGCCGCATCCGGGTCTCCCCACGGCTGCATTTCGTAGGGTCAGTGTGAAGAGGGCAGACTATGTTTTGTGCGGTGAAGTAAAGAGCACTTGAATTTTGTGTGGGACCTGAAGTGTCGATGAAAAATTGTTAGTTGCCCAGCTGTGCAGCCGATGAATGTCTTTTCTGCGTTTTTTTTTTTTTTTTTCTTCTGCATGCGTGCCCGCTCATTTATTCACCCATCCAGGCCTTTGTTCATTCGGTCATGGAGTGGACAAGCTGTACTGAGCACCCACTGTGTGCCAGGCACCGCACTTGTCTCTCTGAAATGTCAGAGATGGCTCCCAGCCTAGAGGGAAGATGGACAGTGAGTCATAGGGAAATTGTTATGGGGCAGCATGGCGAGAAGCATCTCTCTGGCTTTTATTGGAAATGCCCAGATCAGAGAGGCAGGAGGGGTCAGGGGAGGCTTACCAAGAGGGTGTCCATCTGGCCTGAGGGCAGGCCCAGGGGACAGGGCATGGGTGATGCCTCCAGACAGCTTCTGGATTGCTATCTCTCTTAAGTGAAGGCTTTAAGGAAACGTGGAGGCACCTGAGAGGTGTCCATTAACGAATAAAGAGGTCATTAATCATCGTGTGATGGGAGCTTAATTCTAGGTGGGACTCCAAGGTCATAATGGTGACCTCTACCCTGAGGGCAGCTATGAGGCTTGAGGGCAAGTACGAGGAGTGGACAGGGAGACTATGGGGCATTGGCACTCCGCCCTCACAGGCCGTATAAGGTTCTGCTGGACCTGTGCTCCTGCCCAGGACTGGGCAGTTCTGACCATCTCTCCTTGTTCTGCTCTGTGGCGCCCACTGCGGGCTGACTTGGCGGGTGTGTGCAGCGGTTCACAGAGGCGGCAGAGAGAAACTGAGGGACCTTACGACTTTGATTAAATTTAACTTTAAATTCTAGCTCTAGAAATCATAACTCTCTCTACCCCTCAGAGACCTAGCCTTTCCTGGGATAACCAGCAACCACCGAGGCAGCAGAGGACAGCACCAGACCTGACTGATGTCCCAGGTCAGGCCTCTGCAGGCTAAGGATCACATCTTCTCCTGTGTTCCATTCTAGCTCCTGAGCTCTCAGGTGAAATGACCCTCTGGCTACTTTCCCACAAAACCAGTCAGAGGGGCCCGGGAGCAGACCTCAGAGCGTCCTCAGACCTGAAGAAATGACTCATCACCCCCTCACCTCCCACGGTCAGCTCCCAGCACCCCCTGGATTCCTCATCCTGGAATCTGGTGCCTTTGTCCACAGAATCTGTGCCCTACATGCCATTGGAGCTCAGGCTTTGGTGCATCAGCTTCCACTCTCCTGGTTGGTATCTTTCATGATAAAATGGCCAAGGTTTCTCCACTGCGGCTCTCGGTGTCAGGTGTTTGGCTCTGCAGCACCAAGTGGACGGGCTCATTCTGCTCGATAACAGGAGAGACTGTGAAATGCTGGGCTCTCCAGTCTCAGCCCTCCGGCCATGACCCAGCGCTTCCATCACGTTCTCTCCTCCCTCCACACCAGGAGTCTTTCATCGTCTACTCCATGCAAACTCAAGCCAGACCCTGTCAGGGGTGGCAGAGGGAGTCCAGCACCCATGAGCCTCTGCTTCCATTTCCCCACAGGCCACGCTTAGTTTTCTATCTGGAGGGGGAGGTGGTCCTGACTGTGAAGTAGGGCTGGGCTATGGGGTCTAAGACCCTTCTTCCCACTGGTGGTGCCTGGCCATAGAGCTTGTCCTACCAGGTAGCCTTGGTTTCTGGCCTCAGGTCAGCCACCCTCTTACGAGTCCCACAGGCCATGGAGGTGGCTGCTCCCTCCCTGGTGCTGGTCTCTGGACCCCCTCGTTGTCCCCGATGGCATTTCAGCACCTCTTCCTGAGGGCCCAGACTGCTTTCTCTCTACATAACCACTGGTGGGCTCCTTGTTCCTGGCTGGACTCAGCACTTTC